AAACCCCAGTAGCTCTGTCTATATAGGAGCAGTCATGATGATATCAATCCCGCAGACACGGGAAGTCAGCTCGCCATGCGCATAGCCAAGGTTCTGGTAGAAGGCTCTCACCATCACCTCCGAGTATGGGCACCGCATCTCCGCAAGCACAATTAAATGTGTCTCCTCAAGTAGCGGCACAATGTCAAAATGCTCCAAGTTGAAGAAGGTCGAATCCAGCGATTTCGGCTCGCAAATCTTCCTACTCATGAAATACTTCACAAACGTCTCGTGGGCAACTATGTCATCATCAAACAAATAACCGAACGTCAAGTCCGGAGCCTGACTCACACCAGCCAGTGGCTGAGAGGATGACGACCCATCGTGTCGACGCTTGCTTCTTCGCTCATTTTCCCCCACCGGCAGCTTTGAAACGCGTCTAGCACTCATTGCGTCACACAATTAAACTGAAAATAAAGCCAAAATCAGAAACATACAGGTTAGGGTTAGGGTAAGGGTATCACATACAAATTGATAAAATTATTTGGTCAGAATCAAATGATATAAATGAAAATAAAAGGAATTCATAAGCTTACAAATGAGGGAGGGATATATTTCATTAATCAGAACAAAATTGATAAAAACGAAAAAAAAGGAACCTTGGATCGATTTCAATCGGTAGAAGGCAGAGAGGTTCACACGTCCGCGAACTGATGATCAGAAACAAGACGAACTTGTGCAAGATTATGCCTGAAAATCGCGCAACCAACACACCTCCAGTAGCTCTACTCGGGTACCCCTTTGTGGATTTTCCAAATGGAGGCTGCTGGGTTATAAAAAACCCTACCGTCGATATTTACTCGGGTACATTCCTCCCTACCCGAGTAACTAATTCAACCATTTTTCCAGATTCAAGAACTCTATCCGGGTACACCCCTCCCTACCCGGGTAGAAAAAATATTTTAAAAAATACCCGGGTAGGGAGGGGTGTACCCGGGTAGGCTTGATGGTCAACGGTCAAAAAAGAAAAAATTAATATTATATTTTTTGAAAAGGTTAAATTTTCGAATTAATTTTAAATAAAAATCAAATTAATAATTAATTTTTAATTAAGGATTATAAGAATAAAAAGCTATTGAATTAAGTATGATCCGGGATCACCAAATTCTTCTCAATTAAGAGAGGGGGCAAATATTTTGAAACTGTTAAATCAAGTGGGTCTTGCATCACTCCTCCCTAAGCCAGACAATCCCGATCTCTATGATCTATTCTAGTTCAAAACCCGTAGGTATATTCTAGTTCAAAAACCCATAGGTATAGAAATAGGGTACCTTTGACAATTCTCAAACTTTAAAGAATTTTACCATTATCTATATATAAGGTAAAAAAACCAGCTTTAGCATTTTTTTCTTTTTTCTTTTTAAAAAAAAAAGTTAAACAGTCTCAAAAGTAGAGTGTTTTGTTGAGGATCCAGGCATGATTTAACGTAGAAGCTAATGAAAAGATAGGCTAGTGATATTATAGTATAGGATAGATTATAGGAGTTAGGAGGGTCAAGATCCGGTTCTCCGCTGTTTCGAACTGTGTAAATATGTTCTGTATTTTCGTCGTTTTGCTCTCCATTTGGGCTCTAGTGCCCACTGAGAGAGACCATGACCATCCCCTCGACCTCGTCTTCCAACATTTTCTATCACAATAAATCGGAAAATATCTTCGGGGAAATTCTAACGTATGTAATGTAAACAGGACCATGTTAAGAGATAATATATATATAAAGATGTTTCTTAATTATTAGTTTTTTCAAAAGACTTCAAACATCATTAACTAGCATTTTTTTTAAAAAAAGTTAATAATATATATTTGATATTCTCTCGAAATAAAAAATAAAACCATATTACCTTTTCTGAAATTGCATCTTTATATAAAGTGTTATAAGTTAAGTAATATCAGTTATAAATAGAGTAATAAAATTTAATAATTTATAAAAGTTACAGACATAAATCTTATAAACTCATAAAAGTTAAAGAATTTTTATTACTCAATTTATAAATTTTATTACTTGATTAATAATTTAAAAGAATCATTTGAAGTGAATATTTTGTTTTTAATGTTGCGAACACAATAATTATTCACCTATTGATGTAATTATATTAATCAAAGAATAATTTGTTTAAAAGTAATTTTTTTTTTTTTGGAAATACATAAAAGTAATTTTTTTAAGTGAATAAGCAAAATATATCTATTTAAGTTTAATTTAAAATACAACATAAACTTAACTTATTATAATTTAAAAATAAATATATTCTTAGTTATTTATTTTGAAGAAAAAACTTACTTAAAAAGTTTTTTTTGTTCGAAAATGTTGTGTTTAAAGTAATTACCGTTGTTCGAATGCTTAGCTCATCGGATTTTGTTGATTATGTAGTTCATTGTTGCTGCCATAAAGACTCTGTCACTTCAATAGTCGTCATTCATTAAAAAGAATAATTTTATATCCCTAAACCTTTTTTAAAAAATTCCTTTAATTTAAAACTAGTGATATTCAATATATATATATATATATATATATATATATATATATATATTTTATTTTTCTCATGTTGCATGCAACATACAAAAAAGTAGGTTAGATTTACTAAAAAAGAAAGAGAGAAAACAAAAAAATGGACCCCACTAACTTTTTTATGTGTTGAATAAGACAACTTGTCTCATCTAACATGAAAAAAAATAAAACTTATATATATATATATATATATATATATATATATATATATATATATTTCAAAGTGATATTATATTTTTGATAAAGTAGTATTAAATCCTCACACAAATTAAATTATGAAATACTCTTCATCTTCCAAAAAAAAGTGTATTTAAAGAAAATCGAATTCAGATTCCTTCCCACGTAGGGTCCCTTTGAATGGTTTTTTTTTTCTCTCCAAAAATTATATTTTTTTAAGAAAAAAAAATACTTCTCACTTTGGATATTTGCTGTAAAAAAATAAAAGTCACAAAAAAGTCAAACATTTACTTTTTTTTAAAAGCTAAAAATTTTAACTTCTAAAAGAGTAGAAATCAAAAGTCAAATATTTTTTTTTAAAAATTAAATAGTATTATAAAAATATAAATAACTTTAACTTTTATAAAAAAAGAGTGGGGAAATTCTAACTACCAAAAATTCTAACTACTAACTTATTACCAATCACATCACCATTGGATCAAAGACAGAGAATGTTAAAAAAAATTTAAAGAGAGAAAAAATATTAATTTAATGGTGATTAGATACGTAGTAAGTTAGTAGTAAAAAAATTTGGTAGTGAGAATATCCCTCCTTATAAAAAAATACTTTTAAAATAAAAAAGAGATAAAAATTATTTTTATAAAAGCTTAAAACAAACGAACTCGCAGTTATCGTGTATTGTCAATTGAGCGGTCTTAGGTAGTGTTTGGTAGAAGATTTATTTTGAGATTGATGGAAAAATGTAAGTGGATATTGAAAAATACCACGTTTGGTTCAAGTTTTTGAAAAAAATACTAAGCAAATAAGATAGATGGAGAAATGACTTTTGTATTGATTTTTGGATGAAATTTACTGTTACAGAATATCACTTGAGATGTGATATTTTGAGATAACTGGGGAAGTGAAAAAACAGGTGCGAAGTTTCTCCCGAACATAGATTTTGCAAATTTAAATAAATTTTTCCGGTAATATTTCAATCAACCAAACAACTTTTTTTACATTTTCCTACCAAATCCACTTTCCAACTATTTTTCTAATAATTACATTTTCTTAATATTTAAAAAATTTATGCTCAACCAAATGTCCACTTAAGAATTTCTTTTGGCTAATAAGGATTTTGGTGGACCGTTTGCTACACGGATTTTTTTTTTGAATTCTCGGGAAATTAAAATTTTTAAAATTTTAAATGTTAAAATTATATTTTTAAAAATCGAAATTTTCGGACAAATAACAAACGTTTCCGGAAATCCTCATCGGTCAAATGTGCATGTACATCAATTATTGATGTAGACATGTACTGTAATTAACTCGAAAATTAATGTGCTTATTTGGATACAGAGTTGTACAAATTTGAAGATAGAACACTGCAATGGTGCTATAGTGCGCCTGTGAACACTACCCACCCACGAGTTTTATTTGTTTTTAAAATATTAAAAATTTCAATAAAAAAAAAAATACAAAAATTCAACGCAGGCTAGCTTCTAATAACACGATGACCATCACATAAGAATTAAAAATTGATTATAAATTGCAAAAGGAATATATGAAGCTTAGTTGATATAATCAGCAAGAGATGATGATTATTGTGTGTTTTATTATAGCCCGAGGCAATTTAGAATAACAATTATCGAAATTAAAACGAGGCAATTGCAGGTATCTGAATTTCCAAATCGCCTCAATGGTACATAATAAAAGGAAAGAATGGATATTGAAAGAGCCACCAGGAAAGTGAAAACCAGTAACTGGTTCCAGTGTCAGGACAGAAGTGTCATGTATCACTGTAACCACATCGTAACAATAATCACAATAATACAAAATAATTCCCGTACCTATAGCAACCTATACCATAAAATTAAAATTTCATAACTATGCATATGCATAGTGTATAGGGGTATGCTGTCGTGGAAGCCTTCACTCTTAGACGCGTAGACAGAACAGAATGCCTTTTCTGACTGTGAGAGTCTCAGACTACGACACTACACCCCTACAATTTGCAGCCAAATTTTCATTTTTCGTTACCAAAAATAAAAACAACAACAACAATAATAATAATAATAAAAATAAAAGAAAGTACAACTCTCAATATTTTATATCTTGCTGTGCTATTATTTTATAATAATTGGTTTTATCACAAGTTCACCCTCATGCCTTGGTTTTTTAACCCATCTAGATTTGAATCACGAAGTCTCCTCATTCCTTCGCTTCTCTCTCTCTCTCTCTCTCTCTCTCTCTCTCTCTCTATCTGTTCTCTCTTATTTGCACACAAAGTTTCGCACTTTATTATCCCCTTTTGAACAAAGTTGAAACCTCTTCTCTTAAACCTGAGAGAATAAATCAACTCTGCTTTGGTTCTTCTTCATCATAACACTTGCTTTTTTTTTATTGCTTGAGTTTCAGTTTGTGATGATGGCTCAGAAACACTTGCACGAGCTACTGAAGGAGGATCAAGAGCCATTCCTTCTAAAGAACTACATTTCCGACAGGCGCAGCCAGTTGCTGAAAGTGCATTCCCCGAAGACCATTTTGCAAGTGAAGAAACAAAAACCAATCCATCAAAAGATTCAAAACTCAAGCTTCCCCGTTAACCTCTGCAAAAATGCTTGCTTTCTTTCCTTACAGAACACCCCAGATATCAGAAAATCACCACTCTTCGAATTCAAATCCCCAGAAAAGAGCCCCTGCAGGTCCTCCAACAACAACACCATCTTCATCCACATCCCTGCAAGAACAGCATCGCTTCTCCTCGAAGCCTCTCTCAGGATTCAGAAAAAGTCAAAGACGAAAACCCACAACAAAAACAACGGCTTTGGCCTATTGGGTTCGTTCTTCAAGAGACTAACTTCACGAAGCAGGAGCAGAAACAGGGAAATAGAAGGTAACAACAACGTTAAGGTGTCGGTTAAGGATATCTTGAGGTGGGATTCCTCTGTTGGAAGAAGAAAACCTTCCAATGGAAGAGGGAAGGAGCAAGAAAACAAGGATGTTATTGTTGCTGCTGCTTCTGAGGTGTGTTCCTGTGAGGTGGGTTTCACCTGTTCTTGCAATGGCAGTGTTGTGTGGTCAGAGACCAACGAGGACAAATCGATGGACATGGAAACTTCGAGTAGTGGCCACTCTTATGACTCTGCTGACGAAGAAGCTCAATTTCCGAACAAACAGAAAGAAAAGGATGAATGTGCTTGCTTTGATGATCATGGCTTCTTCTGTGAAAGCCCTTTTCGTTTTGTCCTCCAAAAAAGCCCCTCCTCCTCCTCCGGCCGCCGTACGCCGGAATTTTCCTCGCCGGCGCTGTCGCCGAGTCGCAACAGAACAGAGGTTCGTCCTTTTCATATAATAATAATAACAATAAATTTTTAGAATTTCAGCTTGTTATTTATGTCACCAGGTTCAACTCGCCGGTCTGACTCGGACAGTATGCTGAGTTGGAGCACCGAGTCAACTCGTGAGTTAACCGTGTTTGTTCAGTGGGGTTTTTTTTTTTTGGTCGGCAAATAGGATCTGGGTTATTCCCAAATTTGTTAAAGATAAATCTAGCAGAGGGTTACATAGGTCAATTCAATTCAATGGTTTTGGTTATATGGTAAATAAATTTCATGTTTGTTCTTTTATTAATTGTTCCCGACATTCGATTTACTAGAAAATAGTTTCTCAATTGTAATTTTTTTGTTTTAAAAATAATAGTAGGGTCATGTAGTAAGTAACCAAAACAAAATAGAAGTCAATAACGTACAAGCCAATTATGAAGCTGGTGTTGAGTCTAAATCCATTGACATTACAAGAATGATTAAGAAATTATGTCAACTACCCAATTAGGACAATATTATATTCTAACTAAAGTTTGTTGCGAATTTTCATAGGACAATGAAAGTAAAGGAGATGATAGCCACAACAAATTCCAATCAGGGGAAGAAGAGGAAGAAGAGAAGGAACAATGCAGTCCAGTTTCTGTTTTAGACCCACCCTTTGGGAATGATGATGATGATGATGTGCATGAAAACGACGAAGATGATGAAGAGGGTGGTTTTGATTTGGAGTGTAGCTATGCCAATGTACAAAGTATGTAATGCATTATTTAATTATTTAATTTTTTTTGTTTATTTTCCACCGCTCTTTGCTATGTTGTCGTTTTCTATCAACATACCGTCGTACGCTACACGGTTCTTCAAAGTTGATTGTCTGTTACAAAATGCCATAAGAGGGGCTAATAGCTGAAATGAATGTGCTGATATTGAACCATGATATCTATCTTTGTGGGTTCCATTTAAATATTAGAGTGTCACATAACCCAAGATTCATTTCACATTGAATGCGGACTTGGCCTACTCTTTTGTTTGCAGTAGACAATCGTTATAAATCTCAGCATGACCCACAAAATTTTTCATCTTGTCAGGAAATCTGTCTTAATTGTGATACTTCCATTCAATGTGTTGTATAAGGTTTCAGAATACTAACTCTTTTCAAGTTTCATTATTGATTTGGGTGGTAATTTTTATTTGTAAAGAAATTGGTGGAACCCATGTGAGCTAATGTTATTTCTCAATTGACATGTTGCATTTTTACACTTGATTTAGTACTAGTACTTCAAGGCCAATTTAGGCATAGTAAATTTCCTACTACTACAAATATTTGCTAAAGCTTTCATGCAGAGTTATTGATTTTCTTTTTCTTTGTATTAAATTTTCAGGAACTAAGCAGCAGCTATTAGACAGGCTTAGTAGATTTGAGAAACTTGCGGAGTTAGATCCAATAGAACTTGAGAAAAGAATGCTAGATCAAGAAGACAACGAGTATGAGACATTTATTGAAGAGGATGATAGTGAAACATCATGTGAAGAAGAAAAGGGCATGAGAGAAATAGTCTTTGAAATCCTATGCCAATCAAGCGTTCATGACAGAAAGCAAGCCCCAGAAGAACTTAAGAGACTAGTGTATGATCTCATAATGGAGGAAGAGAGAGAGGCTAATTATTCAGAAAATAGGGACATGGTGATAAGAAGGGTTTGTGGGAGGTTGGAACTATGGAAAGAAGTGGAGTCCAACACCATTGATATGATGATAGAAGAGGACTTGTCTAGAGAGGAAGGTGGGTGGAAGAAAAATGATGTGCAAACAAGAGACTTGGTTGGGGAACTTGAGCTTGCTCTCTTTGGCTTTCTAGTGGAGGAACTAGTGTGTTAATATGGCAAAATTTTGAACCAGCTGAAGATGAGCACTTAGAAGAGTAGAGTCTGACTTGCACCTTATTTGAATGGGCTAGTTAGAAAAAATACCCAAAAAGATAATTTGGGTTTGAGGGAAAACATGGGGGATATGTACATGATTCGTGTATGTTGCTGGCTACAATGCTGTAAATCACCTTCCTTGATTAAATACTATATTTTTACCGTTTTTGAATATTATGCTCTATTTTTAAGTCATTGATTCGTTTGCATTTAATGGCTTTTGCATAATAAATTAGAATCATTAAATATAAATAGAATCAACATTACACGTGCAAAATAATGTTGCCCCTTTGTTTATTTTTTAATTTAGATATAAAATTTAATGCATCCAATCTAGTATCACTTTTCATTCCATGTTTGTTTTTCCCAACCACCTTCAAAGATGATAAATATTGAAGACACTTTTTACAAGCAATATGAACTTAAGAAATCAGACAAATCTTCTAACAGAAGTTGCTAGTTTGTTATACATAATTGAGTGTATAACTCTTTCTTACTGGTTCTCCTCCATCTTATTCAGAAGATGTGAGAGTCTAGGCTAGTGGGGTAAAAGAAGGAATTGTAGTTGTAGATACTAGAGAGAATAATGTAGTTCGAGGACCTTGTGAAGAAAGGAACAATTTGACAACGACCTTGTGTTATTTTATTTTCAAGGGTCCATTCAATGATATAATTGATTAACCACTTGTCAATGAACTTGGCATCCTTGCTTTGTGATTTTCCTTTTTCCTTTACCAAATTGTGTTATTCACCGTACTCACAGTCATAGCTTTTCTGGTTATTCTTTCCAAGTACCAATGTCATGGATCAATATCTTTTGGGATTATTGAGTTACTACGTCGAGAATGCTTCTTAATTATGGATATATATTTTTGGCCTAGTAGAGAGCTATTACTACTTCAAAGGAGGGTGAAATAATCATATATGTCGAACAAAAAGTGTACCCATTATATATCCAAACGGGCTTGATATATAGCCCAACCCAATCAATTATAGATGCAAGTTTTTTTTTAACCTATTTCGAAGTTTAATAACTTGCTCACTTGCCCAGTGGACCTTGAACATATAAACTGATGAACTAGTTAGACTCTCACTCAGGCCCATTATACTAGCAACCCGTGTTAATAAGAGGATGACTAGTCATGCATTACCCATAAAAGTCATTCACCCCAAAAACAGCGTGTTTGTTTGTGGCTTATAACCAATTCAAAAATATCATAATAAAGAACAACTATTGAATTATTGGGTTGGTTTCATTAGAGTTTGTTATATCGTTGTTAATTTGACTAATTTTATTTTGTTACTCCTTCGCCCCCTCCGTATTTATTATTCCTCTTGTACAAATAAAATTTGAAAATAATTCTTCAAATTTTGTTGCATATCCATTCATTATTGTTAAAGAAATGTAAAATCATTAATGTACTCACCCCATAGCTTGAGCTTTTAGATGAGATGATTGTTTATCATGTTTGGTGAGATGCTTGCTTTATCATGGTATCATAGCCTAGGTGATCATGGAGTCACAGGTTCGATCTTTATGGTCCTCCACTTTCTAGTGGGAATTAAGTCAACATAAAGTAGAACCTGTTGGACAAGTGGCTTCAAATTTCAAGAGAGGGGTGAATTAAGTTTTAAAAACTTTTACAAAATTTATCACTTTATTTGAAAAAATAATTTCTCGAGATGCTATGAATTAGTATAAGCAAAAATATAATGGATGACAACTTAGGCAAGGAAGTAGAGACCAATAAATTTGAAATTAAATGTGCTCAATTATGCAAATAATGCTTATGTAAGGAGATAACAATTAGAGAAAGTGCAAACTTTGTTTATCTTGGTTCGGTCACAACTACCGTAACTTATGTCCAGCTTTCAATCATCACAATGCTTGGTATACTATTGATCAAGATTCAAGTGTGCTTGAACAAACCACTACAATCACACCAAGATTATGATTTTTGGGCACCTTACTCTTTCACCCAATTTTTGAAGCTATGGGAAACCTTTCCAAACTACGGTCTCATTACCCTTAATCAACAATCACTCAAGAAAGGTATGTGTTTTAGACAAGCTAAGCACTTTCAAAGTGCAAATGAAACAAATTGAAGTCTAGTAGGTGTATAGCTTAGAGAATAGAAACGAGCTCAAGTATATGATGATAAAGTAAGAGTGCAATCATTGAGAAAAATGTGTTAGGAGGAGTAATAATGTCTCAATAATGATATAATTTGGTTTCTTGATGAATAGAGTCGTTATCAATGAGTTTATATAGCTTTCCAACAAAAAATAGTTGTTTATAGCTGTTGAAAAGTATTGTGGACAAGTCATATTCGCATATATGTCGAGAGCATATTTGAATATGTACTCGACATATTTGAATATGTAATCCTCCAACATCTAAATATCTGGAAATCCATATCTGGATATGTCAATATTCGTATCAAGATATTTCATGACAACAACACCTTAAACAAAAAATTTTATTCCTTTTTGATTCAAAATGACTTCTATCGTATTCAAAAAATGTAATTGGACCTAAAAAATATTTATATACATTCAAATCAAATGAAAATTATTCCAATTGAAATTTGACTTATTAAACCAAATAATTAAGTCTTATTTCAATATTTAGTGTTCAAAATGCATTCTTAAAGTTCAAATAGAGTTTCAAGCATGTGTATTTATGTGGTGCAAGACTGCTTGTGTGCTCAAACTATGTTAAAAATCTTTCGATGCAAGTTTGATCTATTAAGCCAATATTTTTAAGCACTTTTTGATTATGCAATGATGAGAATAACTTGAGCTCATACAATGCTATTTACTTATGCACCTTTACATACATGTTCTATGTCCTGAAAACATATTCTAATGAGATCTTGGACTTAGCTTCATGCTTAAAGGCTTGATTTATGAATTTGATATTTGAGCACTTGAATTTGCTTTGTTTTCACATACACTTGGATTCTTTTTGAATGTTGCTTCTAATGGCTCTTGAATCAACTTCCTCAAGCTTATTTGTTATCATCAAAACAATATTGATGTGGAATCATCAAAGATATCAACCTTAAGTGCATAAGACCCACATCATCATCTTGATTTCACGGAACCAAAAAAATCGGCTTGTGCAATATCTACCTTCAAGCCCAAAGAACTTTTGCATAAAAAAGATGTGTTAGAGAGATATAATATAAAATCATTGAAGACTCATCACTTACTAGCTTGTGCTTTTGAGTTGAAATGATTTTTTTCATGGTATTAGTGCTGATATGACTAAGTGTTCATTCAATTCTCATAATTAAATAATATGGAGTTTCTCAGCATATGTAGACTGGACTGATATACCTTCCACCCTTAAGCCCAATGAACTCTCGTGTGAAGGAGCATGTTAAAGAAATATAAAACCATTAGTGTTACCTTACCCAACAATTTAAACTTTTAGGTTGAAAATATTCTTTACAACTATCTTACTATCTAGATTAGTGTAATTTTATTTTACTTACCCTCTTTCACAAAATATTTCGGATTGCAAAATCCAAAAATATTATTTACCTTATACACTCTAATTATTTCATTATAATTAAAAATTGTTCAACATATTAAAAATTACTTGTTGAAATAATTTTAAGTGCATAAATTAGTAGTGGATACGTAACTCCAATACATTACTATTTGTACAATTCGACAAGGCTTAGGGTGTGATTGACAACTTTCTCAGAATCAGTTTTTTTTTTTTCAATTTTTGTTTTTCGGAATAAAAATGAAAAGAAACTGGTTTGACAAAATCGATTTATTTTTTTGTTCCCAATAATGAACTGATTCAATTTCTATGTTGGGGAACAGAAAAAAGTATTTTCTTTTGTTCCCACACATAAAATGAGAAACAATTATCTCTCTCAATCACTCTTCACCACTACAATCATAACCACCACCATCGTCGCCGCTATCATTGTACCATCACCGCCGCCATCACTACCACTGTTCGGTTCTATTAAACCGTATAATGATACCTCAAGGGTATGCGCTCAGAGATATCCTATGGATAGGTATCTTCGTTGGCTTATAGCCAATATCCCCATCACTGCGCACAAGCAGTAGGCTTATAGCCGAGACGTGGGTGTGTGCACAGTGTGGGCAGAAGTAGTAAATGAGTTAAAGGTGTATACCTGAGGTCTTTAACTTCTTATTTATAAGGGTTACCTCTTGGGCTTGTGTAGATCTCCCAGTTGTAGTAGGATTTAACTTCCTTTCTGTTGGGATAGGGACTCTATCCTTAGCTGCCTTACTATTTTATATTGTTAGGATAATTGGAGAATTATCCTTTAAGGGATCCTTGGGTAGGTGGTTAGGATATGAAAATATTTCATAACAGTTGCCCCCCAGCCCGGCAGTTCGGAAGCTCGGACTGCTGGGGTGCCTAAGTTTGATTGATAGGTCCACCCTACCGAGGTACTATGATCCTGCCTTGGGTCTGGTGTGACTACCTCTTATGGGTTTAGCTTTTTATATTGGCTTCTTTTCTCTTGAAGTCTCTGAGTGATGAGGCGGTGTTTGCCTTTTTTTGTTGACTTTGAGCTTGGCTTCTCTTGTCGTGGCTTTCTTTAAATTGACTTGGCTTTTGCATTGTCTACACTTTTGAAGGCGGTATCTTTGCCTTTCTGATTTTAGCCCGGCTTAATGTACCGTGGCTTTACTGTTGGACTAGACTTTTTGCCATATTTTGTTTGAGCCCGGCTTCGCATACCGTGGCTTTCTACTTTAAGCAACGTTTCATTAGCGAGGGATTTTTAATTTGAGGCTGACCTGTTGGGCCACAAACTTTTTCATTTGGCTTTGTTGCCAAAATCTTGAATAGGAGCCCGACATCATATGCCGCCTCGATTTTTCTTTTATCTCAAATTGGGGTGTGATCCTTTTCTAGGATCACGATCTCTCCAAATTCGTCTTCTCGGATTGGGGTGTGATCATTTTTGCTAGAATCACATCTCTCCAATTCCATCTTTCTTCTTCTTCTTTTTTCGGATCGAGGTGTGATCCTTTTGCTATGATCAAATTTCTCCAATTCCGTCTTCATTTTTATCGCGGATTGGGGTGTGATCCTTTTGCTATGATCACATCTCTCCAATTCCGACTTCATTTTGATCTCGGAGCCTGAAGCT